GCAGTGACCCTCAGTACTGCTGGAGCCACAAGGAACTTCTCTCTTGGTGTTTGCCACTGGTCACAACCAAAAACCCCATTTAGTTCAAGCACTGTTCAGATCTGCCTGTTTCTTGGAGCACACTTCAGAGCTGAGCTCACACAGCCAACCAGAGCAGCCTTGCAGCCTGCCTGGCTCAGCTCTGGCTTCAGAGCTGAGCTCACAGCCTTGCAGCCTGCCTGGCTCAGCTCTGGGTTCTGAGGGATGGGGGCAGCCCACATGCCAGCCAGAGGCAGCCCTGAGGGCAGGGAGCTCCAGGAGCAGGGAGGGGAGCTGCTCTGAGCACAGGCTGTGGCCTCAGGGTCATCCCAGCCCCACGGCCCATCCCCCTGATGGGTCTCAAAGGTGACATTCAGAGCTCACCTCTACCTGGCCATTATGCTGCAGTTACATCCTCCTCTTCCAAAGAGACAACATTCCAGATGTCCTTCCAAGATATCTCCACACGAAGCTTTCTTTGGTTCTCCTTAAGCTTCCACCTTGAGCAACTCTCATCCTGTTATCTGTCCCCTCCTGGTGCAGCTCAGGCCCAGAGCTCCATCTTCCAGAAAAATCTCTGCAAGGAAGCCTTGCCCAGGGCCACCCTCATGCTCTCCAGGCACTAAATCTCTGTCAAATTAAGTTTCTCCATTTCCCCCTCATTAGTGAGACAAAAGACAGGCATGGTGAGGGGGCAGGGAAGGTCACCAAGCCAGGGCTGGGCTGGAGCTGCTGAGATGGCCTCGGGGTTCCTCTGAGAGCAGGAACAGCCCTCACCCAGCAGACACCAATGCCATGGTTAGGAGCTGGCATGCTCCTCCTGCCCTCCCTACCCACCACACCAGGACCTCTCCCCGTGCCCAGAGCAAAGGTTTTAAGCTAAAATAAAAGCAGCAATATTCACTTCTCTCAAAACTGGTCTCAGTTTTACAAAGGTATGAAGAAGGCCTCCAGGTTCACAGAATCCCAGCAGGGTGGGGTGGGAAGGCACCTCTGGAGATCATCTCATCCAGCAGGTCACCCAGGGTCACAGCCAGGTGGGTTTGGGATCTCTCCAGAGCAGGAGACTCCACAGCCTCTCTGGGCAGCTGCTCCAGGCTCTGCACCCTCACCCCAAAGAAGTTTCTCCTCCTGCTCAGGTGGCACCTCCTGGGTTCCAGTTGGTGCCCGTTGCCCCTTGTCCTGTTGCTGGGCATCACTGACAAGAGTCTGGCCCCAGCCTCATACCCCCGTGGGCCCTTCAGCTCTTGATCAGATTCCTTGGGGTTTAGGGCATTGTCTGCTCAAAATATTTCCAAAACGACACAGAAGAAAAACCAGCTTCCCAAGCTTCACAAAGCTAAAGACACTTCCCTTTCCCACAGCCCCTTTGATAAGGGGAAAGAGAAGTGATTTTTTTCTCCTCTTTCCCCACTTTTCAGCCCAGCCACCTCAAGGCAATGCAGCAGGGGCACAGCCCTGGCTCTCCAGGCTGCACCTCTCTGCCGTGCTCCCACAGGTTGGGGACCCAGCCAGTCCCCTCGGATGCTCCCACAGCCCTGCCAGGACCTCAACGTGCCAGAGGATGGATTTTAAGAGAGGGCACTGCTGTTGTGGGGCCACTGAAAGTAGCAGCATGAACTGGGAACAAGCACATCAAATAGAAAGGAAGATGTAGGGAGAGGAAGAGCAGGAAGGCGAGGAGGCAGCTGCACGGGCCCTGCTCCCCAAGCCCAGCTGAGATGAAGGCACATGGACTGCTTGCTTTGGCTGGACAGGAGGCACATCAGATAACATTTCCTGCCCCAGAAAGGGGCCTTCAGAAGGGGTCTGAGTGGCACAAAACAGCTCCAGGGAAGAAGGAAACTCAGAGCTCCTCACTCGTGTGCTCCGTGCAACCCGAGAAACACAAAGGGGTGAGTTAGCAGCAGCAGCAGGTCAGTTCTCATGGCTTTAAAAAAGGGACTTGGTGTGTTTCCAAGTGGCCTTTGCTTTGTGGCACACTCTGGTCACGCAGAGTCCAGTGCCACAGATGAAATGAAACTGAGGGATCATGTTGAGAGAGCTGAGAGCACGACTCTGGGGAGACCTGGGATCGACAGGTCCAGGGCTGGCTTGGAACCCCCTCCAAGGGTGGGGACTCCACCACTGCCCTGGGCAGCCTGGCACAGCCCTGGGCAACCCTTGCAGGGAAAGAAATAGCTCCTCATGTCCAGCTGAAACCTCCTATGGCTCAACTTGAGGCTGTTTCCTCTTGTCTTGTCCCTTGGGAGAATATCCCAACCCCTCACCCTGTGTCCAACCTCCTCTCAGAGAGTTGTTGAGAGCCAGAAGGTCTCCCCTGAGCCTCCATTTCTCCAGGCTAAAAAACTCCTCCTCCCCACTCCCCAGATAAACCTAATACATAAGCTGTGACCCATAGCCAGGTCTGATGTTCCTCCAGACACACAGAGCACTTCTCCCCTTCCTCAGAGGCAGCCAGGGCACCATCATACAGTGATGCAAGTCGCCTGCAAGGGGCTCAGGCAGCAACCCTTGCCAAAGGGGCTCTCCCACAGGGGCAAGCATCTCCCCACCCATTTCAAAGACCCGGCAGGCTCTGCTCTCCTGTTTTTAGCAGCACAGCAACAAAAGTGGAGTCTGAGCTTGTATTGTTGGGCTGAGAGGCGTGGGCCACATCCCACATCCCCGG